TCCCTACACCTGCTCCCATTTCTGCTCTTCAGCATGCAGTGTGAAATTATTACTGCTTCCCCAGTCTGTTTTACAAGGATCTGTACCACCAAAAATCTGCTCGGGGTATGGGTTTGTGTGCTTCTATACACCCACTTTTTATGACTTCACTTCCAACTTATCAGTCTTTGTTTTCTGTGCGCATTTTGCTTGCACTTTAACTCAATTTGCTCCAGCTCTGTGGCATTAGTTGTTGAAAAAATGGCAACAGACTTTTCATGAGTCAACCTTGACAACAAGAGATGTAAGTCAGCTCTATCTATATGGCAGTGATACAGCTGTCATGCTGACTTAAAAAAAGTAATCAGAGTCGGTGGATGCAGTTGCGCTCCGCATCCCACTTCATAGCTTTGTCATGATCTCTGAGGCAACCATCGCAACACTTTGGCATTTAAAGAACAGTAGTGGTGTGTATAATAAACTTTAACGTTTTCATTTCCTTTCTGACAGACAGTCACTTAAACTGCCTGCAGGAAGCCTTTAAGTATCCATAGCAACATCGCACCATCGCACTAAATAACTGAGAATGGCAGAAAAGAAAAGAAAGAACTGTTTACTTACACCATGGCAACCTTCTTTGTTGTGAAAGGATAGGTCAGAAATGTATCTGACTGTGCTGGCAGAAATAATGACAAAAGCCCAAAGAGCACTAAAAATGAACACAAATATTTTGAATCAGTGTCTTGTAACGTGGGATGATTCTCTGGAGCTACTACAGTGTGGAAATGAGAAGTGGCAGGAGGAACAAGGGCTGGATGAGATAGTGGCAAAGTGGATGCGATGTATAAATAGCCTGTGGTAGTGAGAGGACAGAGCACAGCAGGGGAGAAGAGTGAACCACTGCAACTATTGTTTGAGTCCCCAAGTTTAGTTGCATAAAAGCAATAAATCATCCACTGAGAAGAACTTGTAAAACCGGGGCTTCCATGCAGTTCACAGCCAATAAAGGTAGATCTTTTGTGAGGCTGTGTGTACAGGGGCAAACTATTGCAAAGTCCCATCAGATAAATAAGTAACCAAAGAGCACCAAGGGGCCAGAGGGTAATGGCTGCTTAGTTTACATGTGTGATAAGGCCTTTCACTTTCTCTCCCAACAGGGCTCATTCCCTTAGGAGATGCAGAATCACAAAGGTTGATGACAATGGGCTTGTCATTCAGTCAGTTTCCATAGCGACCACACATCCCTCTGAGGCCACCGACATCATTTTGATCACAGAATTCTCCTGGCCTGGACTAATTGCTGTATTTACACCGCCATTCTGTTACAGTGCTTGGGCAAATTCCCAACACAGTGCAAATATCAATCACACTAATCATATGCTGCTCTTCACTCACCGCTGGAATGTGTGGCTGCTTTCCATACTGTGGGCTCATTTGGATCTGCTGCTCATCTGTTTTATGACTCTATGAGGCAGGAGTGTAAATGTGTTAATGCTGTCTATGGCCGCAAGTAACAATTATTCCCATTATTGAGCAATCTGCCAATTCTTTTCTTCGTTAACTGCTTCATTTTTTTGGTCTATAAAGTGTAAAAAACACAGTGATGGTAATTTTTCCCAGAGGACTTTTGCATCCAATGTCTAATAAAAGGCCTGGATGTTGTCAGTCTAAATTAATTCTACAGTCTGGTTGAGGGTCACCTCTTCTATGATGGACAAATCACAGTATCCTCATGGCCCTGAGTTTTTGGATTCCAAAAGCTAACTTCTTCTTCTTCTTCTTCTTTTGGCTGTTCCCGTTAGGGGTCACCACAGCGAATCATCTGTTTCCACCTAACTATCTTCGGCATCCTCTACTCTCACACCAATTAACTTCATGTCCTCTTTTAGCACACACATGTTTAAATTCCAAAAGCTAACATGATCAAAACAACCACAATTCCCTATGAACACCAATGCTATGGAAAAGAGTATGTTGAGTGCTCTAGAATTTGAACTCAGCATCTGAGCAAAAACTTCCATTTCTAACCAAGTGGTTGCCCCAAGCTTGAAAAACAAAGGTAACTTTGTTAAAAAATTATGTTTGGTTAATTGTACGCTAACTGGCATGAACAGGGTTGGTGATTAGCATTCATGCAACCTGCAGCACAGCTGGTAAGAGCCAAGGACAGCTGTGGGACCATGTTGCACCTGAACCACATATATTATTGCCTTTACAACACTAATCATGTTTTTCCACAGCATCACAGATACAGCTTTTACTTCTGTATTGTCTAATCTTCTTCAACCCGCTCACTGTGGATATAGCGACAGGATGACTATACTGAAAGTTACATTTGAGTTCAAATGTAAGTATAATAAATATTAAAATGCCACTCTTGTTCTACTTGTAAGAAATACTTTTTAAATAGTAAAAAAAAGAAAAAGAAAAAAGATAAATGCCTTCAAGGACAGTTCAGGCTCTATCACTGTGTGAGAAGCCTGAAATCTGGGATCTGAAAACTTCCACAATGAAATGAGCTAAATCTATGATTGTCACACACAAGTCATCAAAAATAATGCAGGGCTCAGGCAGACAGAAATACCTTAAAGGTCACATGTAAAGGCATGAACAAATGATCTCCTGACACTAATAAACAGAGCATTGCTAGAAATGAGATATGACAAAGGGAAACATTGTACCATAATTAACCAGAAAATGTTGGAGTGTGAAAATGTGCCATTTGCATTTGGGCTGTCAAAGCACTGGCTGACTTTCAGGAGTGCAGCACAGCTATATTCTCTTTCCTAATATAATCAGATATATTTTCAAGTTTCTACCATGTACTTGTGCAGAGTGGTGGAACATAACTAAGTACAATTACTCAAATACTGTACTTAAGTACAATTTTGAGGCATCTGTACTTGATTATTTTCATTTTCTGTTACTTCATACTTTGACTTCCCTACAAATAATGTACTTTTTACTTCACTACATTTATTTTATAACTTTAGTTACTTTTCAGAACCAAATTAATGCATAATAATGCAGTATAATTATAAGACCTCATTGATCTATGGTGGAAAATTCACAAGCTACCCTGCAGTAATTCAAATTAATACATACATAGCCTACAAGTTAGTTAAAACTAGCTCCCCCTTTACCTGCAGCAACATTAAATGTGATGTGGACAGAATATGATATACAGGAATGTGAAATGTGCTATTTTGCATAATAAGTACTTTTACTTTTAGTACTTTGAGTATGTTTTGATGCTAATGCTTTTGTACTTTTCCTTAAGTAACATTTTGAAAGCAGGACTTGTACATGTACAGTTTTAGTGTTGTATTGCTACTTTTACTTAAATAAAGAATCTGAGTACTTCTTCCACCACTGCTTGTGTTATTGAACTTACTGCTTAAACTAGACCTGAATCAATCGTCATAAGTTATTGAAAGAGGGGAGAAAGGTGGATGAATCTGATATGAATACAAAGATTTCATGACAGCTCTTGGCGACCTGCCGATGGATGCACTCTGCCAGCACCACCAAGTGGTCAGGCATCGCAAAGTAAAAAGCAAACTTCTAAAACATTTACGTTATGGGATTTTTGGATGGTTCCGGTAAAATGCTAGTATTTTCCCATTCCACAGGACATGTTAATCTCCTTTAACAGGTGATATGACTGCAAAACATAGAAATGTATATGACAAGACAAGTCATGGGTTAAAATAAAGAAAAATACCTCGGGTTTAGAAACGTAGAATCCCTTAACATAACCAAATAATACTGGGGGTGGCTGTGGCTCAGGAGGTAGAGCGGGTCGTTTCCTAACCGGAGGATTAGCGGTTCGATTCCCGGCTTGTCCATTTACCATACCATTTAATAATAGCCGGTGCACAATCCCTATTAAAATACGTTCCGTCTTACCAGGTGAAGTGCCAAGCTCCCGTTCATCTAGTAATGAGGGTGGCTGCGTGCCTTGTTCCAATGAGAAGAGTGGTAAGGAGAAACAACAAAATACAGGTGAGCTGGAGATGAGATATCTTAAGCTCCGCTGTGCCTTTTGCCAGAAATCTACCCCGGTAAACTCCTTCCCCCTCTGCACGGATCCCCCTGCGCTCTCTCGTCCCTCCGGAGCCCTCTGTGCTATTTCTTCTTCAAAGAGGAGCGCTCTGTGCCGGTGGCTCCTCTGTGCACGGTTTGTAATCGGACACCGCACTGTCGCGCTGCGCCACAGACAATATGCCTCTGCTCTTTGTGGGTGACACGGGTGCGAAGAAAGAAAACGGCGCCGAGAAAAAAGCACACACACAAAACTTTCCTTCAACGAAAACAGTCAAGGCTTGTGCACAAAAAGCCAGTTGGGGTGGACGTGGGTGGTGTGTCCAGTGTTTCTCTCAGCTACAGCTGCGCTTCTCACTAGCAGGGTTTTGGTGGCTCAGGAGTGCGCCCCCACTTTGCGCGTCCACTCCAGCAGCAAGGAGAGACGTGGCAGCGGCGCACAGCTGTCCTGCAGGTGGAGGAGAAGAATACATCCCACTAACCACTGGAACCACTGGTGGGATGAATTTGGATAGTTTGAGCTATTTTGACATTTTTGCCTCATTTCAATATGGAGCTTGAGCCAGTAGTTAAACTCTCCTCTGTTTTGTCTCTTCCAAGCAGGTCAGAGGTCAGCCTCAGAAAAGCACTCACCCCCTAAGTAACTTTATTTGTGAGCTAACATGAGTCCCGAGCTACATAACCCTTGTTAAAGACTTTCAAAAACATTCATCTTTCAAACAGAATTATGGTTTTTAGCGCATTTTTTCCCTGGGAATTCACTAAACTGTGATTTTTGAACAGAGCTGTTATGCATTTGGTTTCGGGGGCATATGAGCAGAGAGGAGCTTACTGGATTGAACCTTTTCATGCTAATCTGTAACCACCGGGACCCAAACTTGTGGATGTGTTTGTCCATGTCTTACAACCAAAACGATTTTTAAATTGAGAAAGCACACACTTGAAAGAAGCTTTAACCTTCCATTCAGATATGTTTTTAACATTAGCAGGCAGATCATTTTAGAAAGAAAATGGTGTGTGATGTCTAATATAAGTGTATGAATGTGTTTGTGAGATGAGCGTGGCAAGATAGAGTGCTTCTGTGTTTCTGCACCTTTGTGTATTTAATGGTGACATCCCCAGTTCAATTACCTATTTATCCCCTGGTGAATGAACGTAATCTCTATTAGGCTCCGAAGCTTTAAGGCTATGACAAAGTACGTGTCTGTCTTTTTGACAGACATAACTGAGTCTGTTAAAACGCCTCCTCGTTAAACAGGAACGTGCCTCAGTGAATGCCTCAGCTTTTATGTACCAATATCTAAATTCAAATCAGGTAATTTTCATAAAAATGTAGCTACCCACGATGGGGAGGAAGTAAAGCTGAGATTTACATTTCAAGTGGCCTCCGTGCAACATGGGAAATGCGTGGGTAACCTTTTCTTTTCTTTTGCTGCACAGAGGGACCAGATCTGCTTCTTAAAATATCAGAACAGATTTGACAAAGACACAGCGTGTCAAAAGTGGAAATCTCATTAAGAAGAAAGAAACTAAGTCAAATGTTTGCTTGACAAAAAAAATCTGCAATTGAATATAGTTTCATCCAGTGAAAGTGCTGTGACCTCCAGAACTTATTCTACTCGCCTCAGCAATTTCAGGCTCCCTTTACTCTGCATGGTCTGCTCTCCCATACAATAGATGTTTTACTTGCTCACGGCTGCAAGCATAACCCACAAAGCTCCAGCTAAACTTCAGAGTGAACCTTCAGCTGTCTGAGCTGCACTGAGAAGCGAAGTTTCATCAAACAATTTCGTATCTTTGAATAAGCAATTCGAGTCTGTGAAAGATGACTGTGAGTATGTTAGCTCCTGATGGGAGGCCTGGGACAAAATGCATCAAACCTACACTGTCATTCAAGTCTTTCCTGGTGGGTGCGTGTGTGTGACCACCTTTGTTGTTCAGTATTGCTGCTTTGACATCAGATGAACAAACCAAAGTTGCCAGGCAACCACAAAAAAACTAAACACAAACACACACACACACACACACACACACACACACACAAATCAGTTTCAGAAGAAGCCTCTTATATTTCACCTGGTCATATCAGATCTCAGTAGGGTGTATTTGTGTGTGTCTCTCTATAGTGTTTCATCTCTCCACTTTTTGAAGAAATTGAGTTTATATATATTTAAATATATATGTATTTATTTATTCGAGTCTACTACCACCAAATGCACTGACCAAACAATATTTTCAAAGCAATGTTGTGATGAAGAAACTGAAGGCCAACCTTTATCTCTATAAAAATAAAGGTGAGAAATGAAAAAAAAAATCATTTGAAAATATTCCCTGCTGTCTATTCATTGCTGTGTGTCCTTGTGAGCATATGCATGTGTATAGTCTTGTGTGCATGTTGTGTGTCCATATACAGTGACTGAAGGAAGAGAGATACAAACATCAGGCCAGCATCCTGCTTTGGTGCCAGACCTCAGTTGACCATTTCTGAGGTCAGATCTCTCTTTCAACCGTGCCATCTGTTGTGCCGTTTCACAGCCATTTTAAGTCCCAGGTCAGCTCACGTCTTGCAAACACAGCTAGCCAACCAGTCAACCACTGGGGCACGCAAAACACTCATACTCACACAAAAAATGGCATATACAGATATAAAAGGTATACAAAGACACATATGGGCATACTCAGTTGCAAGGTTGTTCCCTTGAATGACCGTTCATACGTTCAACAGACTCAGAGGTGAGAATTCAGGCAAGTGAGAGAGGAGGAGAGTGGTTTGGTCATTTCCCAGGAGAAAAAGAGCTGGGGATTAAAATAGTGCACAGAGAAGAGTGTGAGAAGATAGCAAGGGGAGAGTTTCTAGCTGTGGAAGACTGCAGTCGTTCTTCTCTCTGAGCTACCTACAGACTCGATGAGCCATCCTACACTGCAGCAGGGCCAAAGCCATGCGATTTCTCAGGCTTACTTAGTAAGCCGCATCGCAACTCTCCAACAACATCATCCAGGGTATTGTAGTGCCAGGGTTCCAAAGTATACTTTCACTGCCACAGAGGAAGTAGGTATTTCCCATGACTGCAAAATTAATAAGAGGATGAAGTTTCTGTATGTGCTAATTTATGTGCTAATGTGTTCTGTCTCTTGCCTTTTGGGCAGGTCTGTGGTGTTGTGTGGTGAGCTGATTTAGAGTTTCACTACATCTGAATTGATGGACACTTACTAGGATAGCTAGGGCTCCACTCCATGTGTGTATTACATGTTGACCAAGCACGGTGCTGCCTGTGCCAATTACTGGAAACACCATTTGCCCCTTTAGCAATTTGAGATTACAAATGGCCAATAACCACATGACCATATTCCCAACCCACTGATGTTCAGATTTTTATTGGCTGCCATGAATGTGTTTGTATGTGATCTAAATGTACTTTGTTAAGTGTTTATAAGAGACCGTGGTGAAGGCCATAAACCAAAATGTGTTGATCCCACCATAAAATTGTTCAACATACTGTGAGTGTTGCTAGAGTTTTGGCCTCTATGCACCTTGTCAGTGGGTAAAGTTGTGCCAGAAGGTTTTGCTTTGCCTTGATGTTAGCATTTATCTCAAAGCACAACTGTAGTTAAGAAGAGCCTCACAGAGCTGTTAACGCAGCTTTAGATTCTTAGTCTAGTTTCAACACATAAAACAAGGTCAGCCTCTGTCATAAAATAAAATACTCAACAGACTGAAGTTCATACTCCTAGCTCTCGCTTATAACATCATCATGGAAGTTTACTCCATCTTTATCTTTTCCTTGTGGGCATGTCCAGTACACACAGGCCTTCTACGGTGCAGTGTAGAGGAATGATAGAGTGTTTTGGGGGCCCAGTCCGTCCAAAGGTGGTGAATGAATGGACTGCGTGAAAATAAAATAAATAAATAAAATGCAGCACCGGAGTCCAGGGGGGTCATCTTTCTCGGTTTCTGCCCAGATTCTGGCTGGCTGTATTTGTCTTTGTCCTCCCCTTTGTGGCCCATGATGGATAGCAAAAAGAATATGGCTGATGGTGAGTTTTTTTCCAACTCTTCTTTTATCATAGTGTCTTTTTTATTTTGTTGTTTTTTTTCCCCAACCACCATTAGCGAAGTGGCAAAGTTAGGGCTGGAGAGATGAACTCTGTGAAATTCAATCATGGGAATTGAAGGTTTGGAGGCGTGAAGTCTTGGCCCCATGGGCAGCTTGGAGATTGCTTTAGATTAATTAATGTCAAAATGGAGAGGGTGAGGCTGTAGAGGACAATTATGAATGTTACTGCTGGGCATGGTGTTCGCCATTCACAGTAAAGAGTGCAGTGTGCTGATTTTTGTCTGTGTTAAGAAGCTATTTATTCCCAGTCAGTAATTTTGAGAAGCCAAAAGCAATTTAAGTGCAGATAGAGTAGGCAAAAGCTATACCCATGGCTAAATGGATAGAAAAATAATGCCACTTATGTAAGTACTCAAGGCATGTATAATCCAGAGAAGCCACAGTGGGGAAAACTACCACCATCTGCCGTACACTGTAATCTTCTGAAGGCAGACCTAGCGTTAAAAAGAGGAATACAACTTAATGATTCATGTTATTTAACAAGCATGAAAATGTCCATTGAGTACATAGGGACAACTATATCGTTTTTTTGTGTTTGACGGTAAAAACGTTTTTAAAATGGACCTGGTATTACTATGGAAGTACTATCATTTGGCAGTCACAGCCACTTTCTCATCTTTTCCTCTTGATCCATGGACTTTTTCACTGATGCAACATCCCAAATTAAGCAGTAAAGCTTAAACTGCATGCTGCTCCTCGTAGCCGTCAGGGGACCAAAGTGAATGTTCACCAGCACTGACCAAACTGTCTCAGGAAACTGGAATAAATCCTCTAATTTCCAACTCAGCAACAGCAATTTATTTCTTTTGACACCATCGTCTGTTTCAAGCAATTCCACATGCCTCGTGCTGCACAGTCCTGTCTCTCATAGACAGTAATATTACATACACAGACACTGATTTATGAATGTACATGTGCACAAGCATGTACACGTTTTCATATGTGTATGACATGTTTTGTACTTTTGTCTTTCACACGCTCACATGCAGATACAAATCACCCCCACAGACTCAGACAGGCTAACACAGTGGGAGTTTGTGTTTGCTTGATCTGTGATGCACTTTGAGCAGGTGTTCACAGGAAAGCAAGATTGGTCTTCTCGCTACGCTGCATTTCTATCTCCAGAGTTTGAGAAACCATGATTTATTTGTAGTTCTAAGGTCAAAAACTGGAAGGGCTTTTCACAGTTTGGTAGTCTAACGGCGATACCAAAGTAAGAGACTGAACAGTCTTAAAATAAATTTTTTAACTAACATTAAAATATGTATGTTCATAAATTTTTTTTCTTTTTGTATCA